GGCGGACTACTTAAAATAGACAATGACTAAAGTTGTACGAGTGGCTAGTTGTACACTCTTTCCATGATTGCCTCTGTGGCTGTTGTATACAATACTCGCCTTAACATAAAAAAAAAATGAAGATAATCTAATTTTGGCCAATCAAAGTTCTTGTCCAATCAATAAATAAATTTTATCATATTCGAAACTCGTCTTCTAGTGCTAGCAATGAATACTTCTGATTTACAAATTATTCAGCAAAGTATTCAAGATACAGTTGAGATTCTTAATAATTTCAATGATAAGGGTAATAAAGAACGGTTAGAAATCCAATCTCTTTATTTGTTTTTTAAATAAACTTCGTACTGGACTCTGCTTAAAATCCCTGAATCATTCAGAGGGCGTTCTTCCTACGTAGAGCAATTAATAAAAGATATGGCGATATATTATGGTTATTCAGAGTTCCTTCTGGAAAAATTATTTCATTTATTTTCAATTTCAGAGGTTTATTATAAAGTTTACCGATTAATTTTTTGCAAAATATGCTATTAGGTTAATATAATTTTTATTTTCAAGGCTGTAGAGTTTTTCGAAGCAAACGAGATTTCTAGACCAGTTACTATACGAACGAATACATTACGTACTCGTCGCCGAGATTTAGCTCAAGTATGACTGACTTAATAACTTTTCACTTATAAAAGACCAGTCTTTGATTAAGTAATTCTTTTTTTTTTAGATCCTAATCAATAGAGGTGCTAATTTAGAACCTATTGGCAAATGGACAAAAGTTGGATTAACTGTATATGACTCTTCAGTACCAATTGGTATGTTTTTTTCATAGATTAGAACTTAAATGTTCCCCAATTGAAGATTCTGTTCTTTTTTCTAGGTGCAACACCCGAATATCTCGCTGGGTATTATATGCTACAATCTGCTTCCTCGTTTTTACCTGTTATGGCTTTAGCTCCCCAAGAAAACGAAAAGATTCTCGACATGGCATCTGCACCTGGTGGAAAAGCCACTTACATGGCTGCGCTAATGAAAAACACTGGTATTATATTTGCAAATGATTCCAATAAAGAGAGAATAAAAAGTCTTGTGTCAAATATCCACCGATTAGGCGTTAAGAATGCAGTAGTGTGTAATTATGATGGTCGTGAGTTCCCAACTGTTATGGGAGGGTTTGATCGGGTTCTTTTGGATGCTCCATGTAGTGGTACTGGTGTTATTTCTAAGGATCCTTCTGTAAAGATAAATAAAGTAAGAAATCTAAAAGTGTCGGCTTTACTATTGATGTACTGCTATTCATGTTTACTAAAATTCTCTATTTAGACTCATAAAGATTTTATGCTACTACCTCATTTACAAAAAGAGCTCATCTTGTCAGCGATTGATTCAGTTGACGCGAAATCATCAACAGGTGGTTATATTGTTTACTCTACATGCTCAGTAACTGTTGACGAAAATGAAGATGTGGTAAATTATGCACTTAAAAAACGACCTAATGTAAAATTGGTACCAACTGGTTTAGATTTTGGCCAAGAAGGATTTACAAAGTATTTCAAAAATTCTGACTATTTTTTTGCCTCAAATAATATAAATTATTGGATTAATTAAAATTTGGTAGGTATCGCGGAAAAATATTTCACCCTTCATTAAAATTAACGAGAAGATATTATCCTCATGTACATAATATGGACGGATTCTTTGTGTCGAAATTCAAAAAATTTTCGAATCAATACACTCATACGAACAAAGATGATGTTACCAAAGATAATGAGAATCCTGAGAATCTTGAAGATAGCATTGATCGGGATGATGTTCATTTTAATGAAGAAGAAGATCAGAAATATATTCAAGGTATGTCATTTTTCATTTACTATTTTCTAATAATTGAAAGCCTCGAAATTATAATTATTTATATTTTAAATAGCATCATTAAATAAATCAATGAAGCGAAAAGGTTTTAAAATCCAGAAAGATATTAGTAAATCGCAGGAAAGCAAAAAACGGGTAAAAGAGTCGGTAGCTGAAAGCTGAAGCTATTAGACTTTATATTTTGTTAAAGCATTATTATACTGAAAATAATTACCTAAAAATTAAAACATATTTGCAATTTTTTAAGTAAAACTAAAAAAAAATACTAATGATATTGAATATATTTTATGGACAGAACTAGGTTTGAACCTGCTGTTTTGAGCAAATAACTTGTAATAAAGCCTATTTCTTAATTTGTAAAGCTTAGCAGACAAATTTACTTGTTTAAATTAGGGATGTAAACCAAACTATTTTGGACGGTCAAAACCAGGTGACAATTAGTATCGCACTAGGTATTTACAACAACTTGCTTATTGTCAAAACCATGTGAAACTAATTGTCATATAGTTTGGGTTGTCCCAAATAGTTTGGTTTACATCTCTAGTTTAAATATTATAAAATTAGGTTTAATATTTAAATAAAATTTAGTATAATAATACGTATTTGAAAATAAGAATTATTTTTTATATTTATAAAATAAAAAAATTAAGTTGTTTATATTTTAAAAATATATAATTTTTAAGAATTATTATAACTTACATCATTGGTTAGAAATAATCACCTTTATTAAAACTTAAGGTTAGGGTGTAGTTTTAAGATAAATAGAAGGTTTTATATAAAATATTTTTTAAATAATATAATATAGATTGGATATCAGGTTTTGATCTTAGTTCTTGTAAGGTTTTTAGAGATGCTAAACATTTTTACTTAGTATACTCGACTACTGTTTCATAGTTCAGTTTTCAAGATATAGCATAATGGTTATTTATAATTATTGGTATAAGTTAAAAATATTCATTTTTAATAAATTATTTCTTAATAAATTTTTTAATTTTAAAAAATTTTTAAGCAAACTTTTATTGATATATAGTTTTAATTAATTTATATTAATTTAAATAATTAATATATATATCAATTAAATTTTTTTTTTTTGGTATTAAGGTAAGGTCTTATTTATATTTTTATTAATAATTTAAAATAGTTATATATATATATATTATGACCAAGATCAATACTTGCAGTTAGAATTAATTATTAAATTGCTAACTATATACATCAGCAAATTATATAAATGTAATCTTACGTAAGTTATTATGGACTAAAAAATTCTGTAATAATTACGATCGATGCAGAATATTTCACAATTTTTAATTATGCAATATTACAAAATATATTACACTATATTACAAAAAAATTTTGTAATATTTTGAAATAATTCAAAACTAAAAAAATAAATTAGCTATAAAACTAGAATAAAAAATACATTAATTAAAAAATATGAATTAATTCAGATATATCAAATAAAATTTGAACTAGATCAAATTGTACTAAATCAAATTATTGTGATTTAAAGTAAA